TTTTTTAGATATTTCAAGTACTGAGATAGTAGAAGAATGATATGGCAATCGTTTCCTTTAGTTTCATAAAGTTTCACGGCATAGATTCATAAAAAAAAACACTGATTACATGACACATCCGTGAAAACCCATACATTGCTTTGTAAGTTGACATATGCAAATGAGCAAGCTGCACACCAACTTGACCACCAAGGTAATACGATACGCTGTGACGTAATATGCAAACCGAGAATATTGTTGATCGGCTTGTGTATCAGAATGACTATTGTCTGTGAAGAATTACTGACAAGTTCTCTAGTGAAACATTTTAAAAATTGAAATTATTGTGGATGATGCTTATGACAATGCCTTATTACCATAATGAAAAAAAAGAGAAAAAACAAAAAGATTCATATTAAAAGGTACAGTGACTTTTGAAAAAGATTTATTAAATATATATCAACAATTAAAATACAAAATTTGATTTTTCCATTTTGACAATAATTTATCATTTTGGCTTTTGCTGACCAGTTCAACATTCCTTAGTGTTCATATAAATATTGTCAAAATCCATTCAAATAGTCAATAATGTCTTCGTGTTCTGCAATTGAAAGTGAAAAAAGACCATTTTCTACTTGAGTGTTGTGACAAGTGTATCTGACAGTTGATGAATATGCCATTGCAAGTTTTTCTTTTGTTAACTTGAATGTAATCTCTGTAGGAGATGATGTTGGAGTAATTTCAAAATAGTGTCCTTTAACAACATTTGCTCCACTTGGGTATGTCAAGCCCCAATCATCTGTTGTCCTTTCCTGTAAAGTCTCTGGTGGCTGAGTTAAGGCTAATAGATAGTAGTCATACCCTCTGTCAGCAGAGGCAATGGCAATTACAGATCCTTCACTTGCTAGATCAGCTATGGCTATGTTTTGCTCCACCAATGTTGCTCTTTGATCTCCACAAGACCTTTCATGTTGAAGTTGAACTTGTTTCCATTCTTGGACATATTGCTTATTTACACTGTTAATGCTGTCCCCTTTCATACACTCTGTGCAATAACGTGTTATTGGACGAATGCCTACTTCTAAGGAGCCATCTTTTGACTTGACACTGTGTATTGATCTTATCCCTGGAACTTCTTTGAACAGATGGTTTGGGCGGTTTCTGTCTATATTGTCAACATAAAAGAACACTCTACGCTTGAGACGTACATTGCTTGACTGAAATCGAGTAGGTGATGGATCTTTAAGATTGTAATTTGCAAAGTTGTACAAATCAAGAGCATTCTGTATTACAATCTGTCTCTGGAGAACAGCCATATCACACTTGTATTTGWTATTTGCACCTGCTCCATCTTGTGGTCCTTTGGCATGAGATGTCTCAAAGTAGTTGCGGTATATAGTAGTGCACCTGAAGTCTTTTGATGACATAGACACATCACCAAGACAATGTCGACTTTTATACTGGGTTGCACAGCCATCAGTCCATTCGTGCATGACTTCAATTTCGTAGTGAATACTTTTCAAATAATTGTCCACAACATTTCTAACATTATGCACAGAGTGTGAATCATGAGTAGTGTCTGGTGAAATTACAAATAGGTGTTCAGTGATGACTACTGGTTTGTCAGGACAGCTCCCTTCACCGTCAACGGCTTCTATTGCATGTCGATGCAGCACGGTAACATGGATTGACACTTGTGTTTGTCCAAAGTAAAGTGATTGTATCTGATCTTGATGCTGGCAAGTGTAATTTTCAGAATAATCATGWATACAACATACATGCTTTTCTGGCAGGTTGTTAACCAGATTTTTGAGTTCTTTATTTTGCCACTGTCCTCTAAATTGATGTGCTGGGAACTTATCCAAGAGTTCAATAAAGTAATCAAACATTTCTCCGGGTGGTGTTTCTTTTGTTACAATTTGCAGTTTTCGTTTTTCGCCAATGGTAACATATTCAAATCTTTCACATTTGACTGTACATTTTGAAGGATCTCTTTCGGTTTCTCCTGGTTGAACTTCAAATTTAGAAGTGCCACATTTCTCACACTTGCGGAAGAGACAGTCATTATTGTAGTAGTCTTCATTCTCCATCTTTGTACACAAAGTGCAATTCAGTAGATCAGTTAAGTGAGTGAAAACTTCTGCATTTTGATGGTTCTGTGATCGACGAAATTTCATGCAAGAAGAAAAGAGCATATGTATTTCTACATATCGCGTAGGAATGACATAAAATGGCTAGCAATTTTCGAAATACCTTTGTCCCATCTTGATCTCAGGGTATTTTGACGCAAGATCTTTGTAAACTTCTGTTTGTGTTTTTTCTAGAATATGCTTATCATTTTCCAAGTACTGGTTTGGTCCGATTCGTTGTCTACACATGTCTCTCTTATTGCCTGTTGGCCTGGAAATGTCCTTTTCATTCCAAAAATTGAATGCCAACCATTTGTGTTGTTCAGGTATACCGTCAGACAGAAGTGTCCAAGGAGTTGTAGTTTCCGTTGTCGATAGCACATTCCTACGATGCTGCTGAAATAATAACTAGTAACGATCGCGTTTATATAGGGCTTGTCATCGCGCCATATCGTGCGTTTTATCGTGCACGCCTTCAAAATCTGGAACATATTTTCAATTTATTTTATTGATTGTTTGCATTTTTGATTTCATATTATCTGTGATAGGAGTAAGAACACATCGCATTTCATAAACCAATGATGAAATGCATGATTAAATATAGAACGCACGATTGTTTGCACCTCATTTCGCGTCCTCCTCAGCCCAATTTCCTGCCTTTTATTATTTTCTATTTATCCAATATCTTTTCATTCCATGGTTCATAACATCACATAAAAAATCAAAATGTTTGATTTAAAGGGGAAGTCCGATTCCATACAACTCATTTTGAAATAAAAGTTTAATAAATTTACAATGTTTCTATGAAGTATTACCTTTGTAGGCTCAATTGTAGCTGAAAAAGCACTTTCGAAAGTCACAGAGAAATGAAGACTCGAATGCCGCCATCTTGGACATGTCGCGTAAACACAGCGATACTAATGGACAGCGGCAGTAACGTCACTGCGCGGTCGTATTTGTTTGGCGCGAATTTTCAATAAAAAACTATCTTTCGTTCAACTTTGTTGTGATTAATTATGATATTTATTCGAAAATGCCTCATTGTATGGTACCAGGTTGTACCAATGGTTCAAAGAGAACAAAGGGAAAAGGTGTTTCGTATCACAGACTCCCTAAAGACGAAAAATTAGCGAAAATTTGGATAGAAAAAACAAAGAGAAAAAACCCATGTCAACGCCGTTCCTGTTACGTCTGTAGTGAACACTTTACTACACAATGCTTTGAGGAATCGTTTAAGAAATTGGCTGGACAAGAAGAGAAAAAGAAACTAAAACATGGAGCAATTCCAACAATTTTCAAACACAATTTAAAAGAAAAGCGGCATCGTGTCTTTTCAGAAAAACGAAGAGAAAAACAAGAGAAAGAACAGGTAGGCTACCATACAACATCATTATCCTATATTGTCGTGTTTATCTGGCTTTAAAAACAAAAGGTGGACACTGATAACTGTTAATATGTATCTTTTATCAAGGTAATAAATCAATTGATAGCCGAAAGTGTAGATGAGCCGGAGTGTTCAAACAGCTTTAGTTCTCCCGAGGAAACCATCACACTTACAGTCACAGATCGTTGTATTGAGGGTGGTGAAACTCGAACAGAATTCCTTATGTATTCAACTATTGGAACTCAAACTTTAAAAACATGTATAAAAAGAACAAACACTAAAACAGATAGAAAATTTATTAAACATGTACAGTCTGAATCTTCTTTAATGAGTAGCACTATAAGCGTAAATCCACTTGCTGATCACAATTATTGCATGGTACTTCCTCCATCTTGTGTTTTACCTGATACAAATGTACAGGAAATAAACCAAAACAACACTCCAATTCAAGTCAATGAGAATGACAGTTCAAGTGTAATTCAAATGGAGGAGGCAATAGAGAATGATAATGAGGTGCAAAGTGATAGGCTAAGTACTTCAAGTAAGGACGATAACTCTGATGATGATGATGATGAATTATATATATACCACAGCTCAGATGAGAGCAGCGATGACTCTATAGATGAATCATGTGATACTCCTGAGAGTTACAAAACATTTATTGCCTTTGAGTCTAAACTTGATGAATTATTTGCATTTTGCCAAAAGTGCAAATCTCCAGTGTCTCAGTTAACAAAGACAACAAGTGGCAGTATGTTGACAATAAGAACATTGTGTCTGCAAAATCATGAATTTATTTGGCAATCCCAACCAACTATCAGTAATAACATCCCTGCTGGTAATGTCCTTATTCCCGCAGCAATTGTATGCACAGGAGGGGACATACCAAGACTTTTCTAATTTCGCCAATGCATTAAACCTTAACTTTATAGGGAAAACCTCTTTTTATGAAACCCAGAATAACACTGTACTACCAATAGTAGACAAACATTACAAAAAACAACAACAAAAAGTTATAGAAGCTATGAAGGGTGAGATGCC